ATAAGTGTGACTCGGGTAATCTGTAAAGATTCACCGTCTGTATGTTCCCTTTCTTTAGAGGATGGAGGCAGGAAAAGTTTTGCTCGTCTTGACTTGCCTCTGACAGCTCTGGTAGGGATGAGGAGACATGTAAAACGTAAATAGTCCTTAGTATATTACGCAGGGAGGTGATTTCAGGTTAGGGCTGGGGAGCAGCAAATGAGTTGGCAAAGTTGGGGCTTCTGAGACTTAGTAGGATCAAAGGTCTTCCTGGTGTACTGAACGATTTCTGTGTCTGTGTTTGAACAGATGAGTTTCCTCTAGCCCACCTCCTGCAGCCCTTCAGGGAATACTACTTACAAGCTGAGCATTCTGTAGCAGCTCTAATCCAGATCAGGTAAAGAAAAAAAAATCTTTATTGTATTGCATATCGAGATTGGAAAATTAGGGTCTCTTGTGGTTCTTCCAGTATGGTTTTGCAGTGAATTGTCCTGGTTTTTTTCAGCTAAGGGTCAAGCTTCTGGCTTGATAGAGTTGTATCCAGCAGATGCCCCTGTGAGGCCGTTCCCTTCTGTGCATATCCATGCCATTTAGTAGAATAATACTTGTAATTTTCACAGTTGTGTTTTGTAAAATAAGTCCCAGAGTACAATTTATAGTGTTTTGTGCACTGATCGGCATGGAAAAATGCCGCTGGGGGTACGTAATAACTCTTATGACCCAACTCCCACCAGCTCTCCTCTCAAACGCTGCTTTCTCTGTTAAAGGCACGAATGGGATCAGTACTTGGTGCCGGCTGATCACCCTGAAGGAAGCTGCATCCCTCCAGGATGGGTTCTCCCGAGTCTCCCCACAAGTGACACCTGGGCCACTGCTGTCAGATAGTGCAGTGATCAGTTATTTTCACGCTGGAGGCACGTTCTGTTACAGTCGTGTGAGTAAATACGAGGGGGTTCGGAGAGGAAGTCTTGTCCTCCGCTTCGGTCCTGGATTGAAGAGAAGTGCCAGAACTGGTTTGCAGGGAAATACCGGAGCAAGCCCACAGCTGCCAGGCCTCTCCTGGTATGGAATTACAATCCTGCTGCGAGTTTTGGTTAACAAATCTCAGTCTTAATAAAAAAACATCGCTGATGAGGGAATTTGTGCCAGTATTAACATCCTATTTTTAGTGGCTTTTATCTTTATGAGCCAAAATCCAGATGATGACATTTCCAGAAATAAAGAAGTTTAAAAAAAATAAGATCATTAGTAAACATGTTTTTCTTCTTAAATGAAGCATGTCAAGCATCGCTGTCAAAATAGTTCCTGTATTTTTGTGCGTGGAGACGGACCTACTACAAGTTTAAACAGATTCTGAAGTACAAACAAGACAGGGTTTTTCAAGGCTGATTAAAGCCGCTGTTGACGTTTTACTTTTGTGGACTAAAACTGGTACCACAACATGGAAAAAATTCCCAGATGTGGTGAAGTAGGTCAGAGAGCCGTGTGAATATATAGAGATCTGATGGATAAGCCTGCTGGAAAACAATAAAATCTGAAGTCTAACCTACTGTATATATATTGCCTCTATAGCTATTTTGGTATAGGGACAATTAGTGATACACTATCTGATTCAAAACCACAGCTCTATTTTCTAAGTTATTTATTGTAAATAGAGAAAAATGGATTTTTTTTTTGTTAGTTTGAAGCGTTTTTACTCCGAGGGAGAGATTTGTCTTAGTTCTTCACATCAAATACGACTCCAATGTGGAGGGAAGTGCTGGGAAAAGATTTGTGTGAAGGAACTTCTTCCTTCTACACGGTGGCGGCGGCATCTGATTTCAAACCTTTCCATGTTCGGGACAGCTTGCTGGGAACAGCCGTGGGCCGTATGGTTTTGGGGCTTTGCTGGTCTCTGCCGATCGTCGTGGCATCTTCCCAGAGCTGCAGTCGTTACTCTTGCTTAGCCCTAACGTGTGGGGATGGGTTTAATGTCCCCAGTTCCTTACGTCCCCAGCGTGGGGACATTGTGTAATTCAGGGAGGAGGCAACATGTAATTGCCTAAATTCAACGCTTGGGCACGTGTATAATGTTAGTAGTTGATTTCTGTTAGTAAGAGCACAGGGCCTAGTAGTTTCTGTTAGAGTTAATCTGGGTGCAGAAGTTTGCAGTGCTTGCTCCTGTGAATATTGCCTACCTATAGCACCCCAAAATACTGATCACTGCACCGTCACCTGGAAGCTGAGGTTCTGGTTTGCAATCCGTACGTCTTCCCGTCGCTTCTAGCGTCTCGTTACTCCAAGACCTACGGCTGGGTCAGATCCTGGGGAGTCTTACCTGACGAAAAAGCAGAAATGCAAACAGCCTAAGAACAATTGCAGAAACACCACTTTGGGTTCAGGAAGCTTAGTGGCGGGAGGGTGCTCTGCTTAAATAGTCCGGCTCCTTATCCCATCAGCATGTCTGGTGAGACCAGCTCACCGCTTAAGCTACGGTAATCTTAAAACCCTCCAAGTCAGATGCTTGTCTGGTGCTGCAGGAATTTAAGGAACCGAACAGTAGAAAAACAAACCTGCTCTCCCAGCCCTGCAAGAAGAGCTCCATGATTTCAGCGGACGGTAAGGATAACTTCATCTTGTCAATAAAAACGGGACTTGGGAGTGGCAGCGGATGACGTACGTTTAGGAATATTTCAGTTTCCAGCTTTCTGTGGTTTGTTCTGTGTATTTGCTTTTGCCTAATGGCATCTGTGTGAAAGTGTTTCATGTTTTCGGTGAGGAGGTTGTTGAAGCCACAGATGGAAGAAGCGTGTCTCAGAATACGTGGAGACAGGGTATTAATTCTTAAAAAACCCTTGTGTGTTTGGATTTAAGAGGCAAATTTGTCCAAGTACAGTTTTTCCTACTATTAAGTTTTAAAAAATTACTGTATCGCAGAAGAGAAGTCATTGGCCGTGAGTTTCTGAGACTCATTTGCATCCTCTTCCTTCCCAGGTCCCAGTGCCATTTGGGTTTTTCGTGCTTTTAGGCAGATCCTCTTCCCGATCCCATTTATTTGTTTGCCGGCCCATGCCTGACGGGAGCGTCGGCAGGGCTGGTGTGAAGCAGGTGAGGACACAACCCTTGTAGGAGTTGCTTTCTGGTGTAAGTAGGTGGTTACCACTGACCCTCTTCTAGTCTTGTCCAGTAGCTTTTTTGTTTTTATCACCCCAATGTACTTTTTTTTCCTAAATAGTGGGTTTGGGAATGAACCTGTGGGAGCCTTTCTGTGCAGGATTTGTGCAGTGAAACGGTGAGATACAGTACCGTGATCTCTCCCTATTTTTTCATGGTGGCTTCAGACACATTCCCAACCCATCTCCACCCCTTACAGTGACATTTAAACCCAAGTAAAGCTGTTACGGAGGACGAGATTCTCCCTTCCTTCGCACTTCCATGCCGCACAGCTTTTGGGAATTGCTGACTTACAGCATAAGCCGCCCGGAGGGTCCGTCCCTCTTGCAGGCAGGAGCTGGAGGGGTTGGGGACAGCGGCTTCACTTACAGGTGTGTTATCACGTGTTCTCTGTCAGCGCTGACGTGGATTGTAACTCGGCTGAGCCCTCTTAGGCTGGGGAGCAGATGGCCGGGCTCCGTGCGGGCTGCCGACACGTTGCCTGTGTCACGTGTTCGCAGCGGTACATGTGCGGGAGCCGCCGAGCTGCCCGGGGGCTCTGCCTGCGCTCCAGCCCCGGGTATTAAAGGCTCCCGGAGTAAGCTGGTGAGCAGCAACTCTTGTAGCTCCGATAAGGGCAACTGAGTTGCGCCGAGCGATTGTATTTGTGGTGTGGAAGCGGTTTGTTAGTCCTTTGCTAACTTAAAAAACTACCTTGAATGCCATTTCCCATTTAAGACCCTTATTTTTGCATTAAACAGGCAGCTTTTTCTTCCTTGCATACATTCATCTGCTTGTTTTCTTTTGGTGTTTATCCTCATTGTCATAGAAGCCGTTTCTTTTTCAAGGAAAATAAAAATTTTGTACAAGCAGTTAGGAATGTCACACCAAGTATTTACTGCTCTGGGGTGCTCAGGCACTGGCTGCAGAGCTTGGTGTAAGACTCACCACCAGTTCTAGGCAGTTGGCAATATATAAAGAAAATTATTTTGCCCGCTGTCGTTACTGGGAAGCTGGGGACTCAGGATTTCGTGCAGCAATAGCAGCTTTTTACTAAATTAAGACGTTCATACAGACCAGAGCTGATGGCTGTGCTACTGCAGTAATATTTTCCATGCCACCATTCCCAGTTCATCAGAAGTTTTTCTCTCCTGCTATTCCTGCTCTAACATCACTGCACTTAAAATGACTCGATGGTTCTTAAAGCTAATCTGGCCTTAAAGTGGCTCGTTGGACGTCCCTCTAACACCGAAGCTTGCCTGACTCACCAGCCTCCCTGTGTGGCTCTTGCTAAACTGCTGTGGCACAGGAGGAGCTGCCCTCATCCCAGCTTCCCTGGGCTGCTCCGGGTGATGGCTTAGCAGCACGTGGCTGCGTGCATGAACTCCGTGACCATGGGTGCTCTCGGGTCACGCAGAGAGAGGAGGTGTCCTCGACAGCAGTTCCTGTCTCTGTAACTGGAAGAAGTGCTGGTCTGTCCCCAGCTTGGGAAAGGGACTGTGCGGTGGGCAGCGGAGGGAAAGGGAGGTCAGGAGGAGGGATGGGGAGCAGGGTGGCATGCATGGAGGTGGAAGTGGAGGAGAAAAATGCCGAGGGTTTCTGCCAGATGAAGCTGTAGGCTTGGTTAGGTCCTGCTGGCTCAAGCTCAGAACAGCAAAGGTTAGTTCAGACAAACCTTCCCCGTATCAGTGATCAAAATTTTGCAAATCTGGGCATTGCACACGGTGGTTATTACTTGGCTGGCTGCATCTCTAAGGGCTGCGTTCCTTTTAGCGGCGTCACTTGATGCTCATCTTTCTGTCCTTCCACCCAAATTAAAAGGTGCTAGTCCTGCCTTTTACAGTTTCGTTTCATCCCTTTCTCCAGCAGCAAGAAGTCGCGCAGCGGCCATGAGCTACCTGGATGAAGTTCCCTTCCGGACGGCCAGGAGCCTCGACGGGGACGCGGCGGAAGAAAACACTTTAATCACCGCCCCAGCCATCGACCTCCCTGACTGTGCCGACATCCTCATGAGCACCATGGTGAGTCGCCTCTGCTCGCACCCGCGCCTGGATTCGCCTCGGGGGGATGCTCGAAGGGGTGTCAGCGGTGTTCGCCTTTTCTTCTGAAAGAAGGTTGTGAAATCCCAGCAAAGACGATTTCAGAAATACTTTGCGTGTTCAGCTTTAAGTAGTCTCACCCGTAGGTGGGGTGAGCGCACTTCACGGGGGGAAGGCGATCTGGGCCGGCCCAAACAGCCTCTGCTCCCCCCGGTGATGGGTGAACCAGCCGTAAACCCCACATTGGCATGTCACTAGCTCAGCCTCCCTTATCCCTTCCCCCTAGAAGTGACACATCCCAAATCCGTGGGGTGTGTGTAACATGAAGAGTCTCCATGCTGATCATTTTAAGCAATTTCTCCAAAGGAAATTTTACTGCGCACGTTTTTTGCTGCCCGTGTAAAGGCAGGTGATGGTCTGCCTCCCCATGGACCAGCAGAGGTGGTCCACCACCCCGTCTTATCCCAGAAAGCCCCCAGCCCGAGTTCTGCCCTGGTCAGGGGCACGTGGGTGCTCCCTGCGGAGGCCGAGTGATCGTGCTGGTGGTCCAGGCTGATCTTCCTGGAGGCACGTGGTGGTGTTTTCCTCAGGGAGGCTGGTTTGGGTCCACAGCTGACACGTGGCGGGGAGCAGTAAAAACAGCATTCCTGGGCTGTGAATGTGCTCGCCTGCCCGTCTGGAGGAGACCTTGTTTGGAGAGCTCTGGGGCAGGCAAGGCTTATTCCAGGAAAACCCTCAGATTTCAGTCTCAAACACGCTTATATTTTAAGCCAGACTGTGTGGAAATGACGACTCTGTTCTGGAAGCAGCCAGTTCGGAGACTCCCGTGGCCAGTCCTGCCTCTGTCCAAGGTGGCATCTCCCCCCTTGGTGGCTCTGGGCCCCCATGCCCGAGGTGGCTCTGCCTTGTTCCACTAACGAGGGCCACAAACGAGCTCTGCCACCAGCCTGGGGCAGCCTGTAGCCTGCCTGAAATTGGGGTGCCCACATCTGCTTGCCCCCTCTCCCCTTCCACAGCAGCCAAAGTGACACAAAACCACCTCTGAGCATAACACACCTATCAAAAGAATTGTAGGTACCACTCAGAATAGTAATAACTTCGTAGACAGATTTTTTTTTCCAGTATAAATTTGGAGATTTCCTATAGGGATGAGGCTGGCATTGCCCAATCCTACAGCCCCAGTGGCTGTAGCCAGCCCTGATGCTCAGGGAAAAGGGAGCTGATATGGGAAGGATGTCCTTAAGAGGAAGCGTGTGGTTGCTCTGCGCTGTGTGGTGCGGTGTCAGGTGCCCTCACCAGCTGCTTCTCGCCCTTCTGCAGCACGACTTCTCACTGGAAAGAAAAGTGCTGTACTGGGTCGAGGTGGCCTCTCAGCAGCAAACCTCCCGGCAGCGGGTCACCTCCGAAGTCGTCCCCACGGCTCCAACCCTCCCGGCAGCGGGTCCCCTCCGAAGTCGTCCCCACGGCTCCGCCGTGCTGGCTGCTGCTGGTGGACTCCAGTGACGGCTACAGTGGGAGAGCACGGGATGGGGCGGTGCGGCGCTGCATCAGCCTGAGCGCTGCTGACGGTGGCTACGGGCACGCCAAGGGCAGAGCTGCCTTGTCCGACACCGAGAGCGAGACCTGGCACTCGGAAGAGGACGAGTATTCGGAGGACGATGAGTACTCCTCGACCTCTTGGGAAGAGAACAACAAGGATGAGAAGGTTTCCCGGAGGAGAAACACTGGGAGAGGTGTGGCTCTGCGTTCCGACTTTTACCAAACCCGACCAAAGACATCGCCCGGCATGCTGGAGCCCTCGGAGAATGGTGGACACAACCCAGC